CACAATCACACTTGGCTACCATTTTTGCCATGATTACAATCACACTTGGCTAACCTGCCATGATTACAATCACACTTGGCTACCATGCCATGATCACAATCACACTTGGCTACCCCACCATGATTACAATTACACTTGGCTACTATGCCATGATCACAATCAAACTTGGCTACCATACCATGATTACAATCACACTTGTCTACCATGCCATGATTACAATCACACTCATCTACCGTGCCATGATTACAATCACACTTGGCTACCATGCCTTGATTACAATCACACTTGGCTACCACACAATGATCACAATCCACTTGACTACCATGTCATGATTACAATCACACTTGGCTACCCTGCCATGATTACAATCACACTTGGCTACCCTGCCATGATTGCAATCACACTTGGCTACCCTGCCATGATTACAATCACACTTCCTACCCTGCCACGATTTCATCACACTTGGCTTCCCTGCCATGATTACAATTCACACTTGGCTACCACACCATGATCACAATCACACTTGGCTACCATACCATGATCACAGTCACACTTTGCTACCCTGCCATGATTACAATCAACACTTCGCTACCACACCATGATCACAATCACACTTGGCTACCATACCATGATGACAATCACGCTAGGCTACCATGCCATGATTACAATCACACTTGGCTACCCTGCCATGATTATTACAATCACACTTGGCTACCATGCCATGATTACAATCACACTTGGCTCCATACCATGATTAGAATCACACTTGGCTACCATTTCATGAACACAATCACACTTGGCTAACGTACCATAATCACAATCACACTTGGCTAACATACCATGATCACAATCACACTTGGCTACCCAGCCATGATTACAATTACTCTTGGCTACCCTGCCATGATTATTACAATCACACTGGGCTACCATGCCATGATCACAGTCACACTTGGCTACCTTGCCATGATTACAATCACACTTGGCTACCACACCATGATCACAATCACACTTGGCTACCATATTATGATCACAGTCACACTGGGCTACCATGCCATGATCACAGTCACACTTGGCTACCATGCCATGATCACAATCACACTTGGCTACCATGCCATGATCACAATCACACTTGGCTACCATGCCATGATCACAATCACACTTGGCTACCATGCCATGATCACAATCACACTTGGCTAACATACCATGATTATAATCACATGCCTTGATTACAATCACACTTGGCTACCATGCCATGATTCACTACGTTCAATTACCCACCATAGACTCCGGTCAATCAAAATGACTATTTTGAACTGTAGGCATTAATCAGCAATTCTGCCGGTGACGGAGAGATAGAATCTAGGTCAGGGGAAGCCCCCATAACCCCAAGATTCTCTTTCCCTTACATCGCACGAACCACGTGACCGAGGCCATATGGCAGCGCCATAGACGGCTGTACAAATCACTCTTCTTTTTTCTCCGCATCGGCGGGAATGAAGTTTTAGCAGCTCTGCTGGATCACCTGCCTTTTTTCCAGTTCGGGTTTCTAGCTTGGGTTGTTGCCGCTGCCCGGCATCCGACATTGTAGCTGGTAGGATAAGTTTTCCTTGTCATTTTACCCTCGTGTCGTTTTTCCCCTTTGTGTGTAGTATTTTTCACAACAAAGAAATTAAAACCCGGCGCCACTACATAACCACTTGTTGGTTTCGCGGACGGCACCTTTTACAACTGTATTTCGTTTTTCCCTCATGCATGTCGTCTTTCATTTGCAATGTATTTAGCAATGTATGGATGTAATGACAGCACCAGGGCTCACTGCCGTTTTTCCTTTTGGTCATTTTAAAGTGGTTATATTCAGAATTTACCAACATAGAACCCGCATCCGAGATACTTTGTCGTAGCTGCGTGCGGGGTTCGGGGTTTTTACAACTGTATTTCGTTTTTCCCTCATGCATGTCGTCTTTCATTTGCAATGTATTTAGCAATGTATGGATGTAATGACAGCACCAGGGCTCACTGCCGTTTTTCCTTTTGGTCCTTTTAAAGTGGTTATATTCAGAATTTACCAACATAGAACCCGCATCCGAGATACTTTGTCGTAGCTGCGTGCGGGGTTCGGGGTTTTTGCGTAAAGGTGTGTGTTTTTCACTGGAGTTCTGGGGCCTGAGATTTTCTTTCAGAGCCATCAAAATCGCTGAGACTGACCGCGTCACAGCAAGGTCGCGCATCCAGTAAACAAATCGGTTAAAGTGAGTTGCGTGTTTGGCATGAGTGGAATGTCCTCACACTTGGCTACCGGTTGTACCGGGACGTCGAGTATGAGGCCCGTTAGTGGAGGTACCGATATTTTTCTCGGTCTCTCCCCACTGATCGGAGGGCATCCTCACCCCCGTTCCCAGCCGCGGCTCTCCCACTATTTTGGGGGTAGGCCAAGGCTCAGGCTAATTGCACCAGGCCTCCTCTGAAGCCTCAGGCACTGAATGCCAACAGGGTGCTGGCAGCCAAGCCTCCGATCTCGGGGCAGGGCTTTCAGGGCTGGGCACACGTTGACCCCCCCCTACTTTCAGCCAGCTAGGGTTCGTCACGCGGTAACGGTACAACGAATTTATCCTTGTGTCTGGTCTCTGCTGTGGGTTTTGAATCCCTTCTTACCGACCCATGGGCATCCCCAGAGGGAACCTACCCTGTCATGAGACACACAGTCAAACATGCTCCCTCTCACATATTTAAAGTGAAAGGAGATGCAGTTCACTCATGTTGGATACAGCCGGCACTCCGGGCGATCCCTCAGAGTCTTCCATCCGTATGACTCGGTGAGCCACGTTTTTTGGGGTGATGCGGAGTATCATCGATCCCAGTGATACGATGTAAATACCCTCACCCTTGATCCTAAGGCGACCACCTAAGGTTGCTTCAACGCTTATGGGATCACGGGCATCGGGATCCAAAGCAACCCCATTGGCATGTCTCTCCCTCCCCGAGTGCGGAGTGGGGCGCAGAGCAGGCAAACAGTGTTGATGGGCGGCATTGGTCAGCCACGTAGGATGTAATGCTTAAGACCCCCGGGTGGGGAAAACATTAGGCAACACTTCCCGCTGGACCAAACACTACCCGGTCGGTG